CCGTCTACTCCCACCCCAGACGGGGTCGGAGCAGAGGAGGGGGAACGAGGAGGAGAGCAGCAGGAGAAGTGCGAGGAGGAGGAGCGAGGAGGAGGAGCAGCAGAAGAGGTGGAGGAGGAGCGAGGAGGAGGAGGAGGAGGAGGATGAGGAGTAGAGGAGGAGGAGGAGGAGGAGGAGGAGGAGGAGGAGGAGGAGGAGGAGGAGGAGGAGGAGTAGAGGAGGAGGAGCGAGGAGGAGCAGAGGAGGGGGAGCGAGGAGGAGGAGGAGCAGCAGGAGAGGCGCCGGAGCGCAGGAGAGAGGCGCGGCAGGCGCGAGGAGCACTGCCAGAGCCCAGGGGGAGGAGGAGCGGCGGGAGCGCGGGAGGAGCGCCGCGGAGGCCCCGCGCCCAGGGCCACATGGACGCCGGCGCGCCCCGCGGCGGCGCGGGCGCAGAGGGCGCCGACGAGCAGGCGCCGACGGGCGCGGGCGCCGAGTCCGAGCAGGCGGACGCCGCGCCGCCGGCGGACGCCGCCGAGCTGGAGAGCTGGGCACGTCGGCGGCGAGAGCTCGGGCTGCTCCTGCTGCTCCTCCTCCTGCTCCTCCCTCTGCTCTCCCTCCTCCTCCTCCTCCTCCTCCTCCTCCTCCTCCCTCCTGCTCCTCCTCCTCCTCCTCCTCCTCCGCTCTCCTCCGACCTCCCCCCTCCATCACCAGGTGTATTATCGGGAGGGATTGAAACACACAGACAATGAATCGTCGATTCCCCAAAAAAGATGGGAAACAATGGGAAGAGGGGGGAAAGACAAAAACCCAGAAAATATAGGAAAATATCGGGAATCCTGTTATTTGTGTGTGTGTATTTATTTGTGTGCTTGTGGGCCCTTCATATTAAGCCTCTACGCCAACCAGTCTGGGTGGGCCGCCGTCGCCGAATCCGTCTTTCGCAAAGTGCACCTCGTGTTCGAGACCGCCGCCGCCCCTGCGAGTTTGCATCGGTTGTCTGTATGATTGCCTTCAGCCCACCCCGCTACAGTCAACCCGCAGAGTAGGGATGGGCGACCTTCCCAAGGGTACCCTTGCATCCTTGCCTCCTCGGCCCATCCTGGGCCGCTTTCGTTGGCCGCGCCCCGCTCGAAAGCTTTGAAATGGGCGTCCAAGGCCCTTGCATCCTTATCGCGCATCCTCACTGTGCGGGTTGACTGTGCCGCGCCTGGGTCGTGGGCCAGAGGCCTCGTCGCGGTTGCGCGCTTGCTCCCTTCGAGACAGAACTATGTTGTGCAATTCGTCGCGGTTGCGCGGCTGTTCCCTCTGTGTGGGGGTTCTGGCCCAGGGGGAGTTTTGAGCATAATTATGTTGGGTAATTTGTCGCGGTTGAATGGAGGGTTCGGGCTTAGGGGGGTACGCGACGGCGAAGCGAGATATTTCCAGACAGTTCCTGGACATATGTTTCTTTTGTTTTGGGTGCGCGCTCGTGGGTTGAAGGTTTCGCTTGATTTGGGAAGCGATTGCGGGCGCTTTCGGATAAGAGAACGGAGGGATTTTAAAATTGGATTGCGGCGTCGGATTCAGGCTCGTATTTCGGGGTCCGACGGTCTTCAAGTCAGAAAGATTTGTTCTAAGAAAGCACGCATGCATGCGCGCGGCTTGAGCACGTCTACGTACATTGTCAACACCGGTATATTTCCATGTTCATGTCGCGTAGTGCATATAGTGCGCGCAGAGTCCGCCCCTGTCGTTTTTATCTTGTCGTCTTGGCTTTTGCGCGCGGCTGCCGCCAGTTTTTTGTAACACTTACTTAGGGTCCAGGGCGTTGGCCGCCAGATTTGGGGACCCCCCTGCATAGTGTTTTATGTTTGTTTCGTCGCCGCCGTGGGAACTCTGGTGAACAATTGTCCAAGAGTGTCGACCTGGTGATCCTCCTCGTCGTCCAACCTCCCTTTTCCTCCTTCTCCTCCTCCGCCTCCTTCCTCCTCCTCCTCCTCCTTTTCCTCCTCCTCATCCTCCTCATCCTTCCTTCTCCTCCCTTTTCCTCCTCCTCCTCCTCCTCCATTCTTTTTCCTTATGAATAACTCCACCCTGTCGCATCCCGAGGCCTGTCGGAAGGATGGGGCGAGCGTTTCTTTTGAGAGTTCCTTACCACTTACGAGCTTCAAGCTGAAAAACTGGCAACAGCTTTAGAGATGGAGGGGGGGGCCGCTTCAACATGTGGCTCTCGTCTTAGCGCCGTGCACATTCGTTTCAAACTTTTGCAAGAGCTTCACTGATTGAGGACAGGCCGATGTTCAACATGTGGCTCTCGCCTTAGCGCCGCTCATTTGTTTCAAAACTTTGCAAGAGTTTCACGTGTTTGGGGCGGGCAGTTTTCAAACGGTGGTTTTTGTTTTAGCGCCGCGCGCATGTGTTTAAACATTTCCAATACTTTCACGAAATGAGGGCGGGTGGTTATCATAATGTGGTTCTCGCCTTGGCGCACATTCGTTCTAACATGTTGCAAGAGATTCATGGATTGAGGGCGGATCATTTTCAAAATGTGGCTATCGCCTTAGCGCCGTGGACATTCGTTTCATGTTTTGCAGGAGTTTCATGGATTGAAGGCGGTTCCTTTTCAAAATGTGGTTCTCGACTTAGCGCCGCGCTCACTCTTTTTCAGCATCCGCAGCAGTTTCACGCGTTGAGGGCGGTCCCTTTTTAATATGTGGCTATCGCCATAGCGCCGCGCACATTCGTTTTAAAGCTTTGCAGCAGCTTCATTGGTTCTCATGGCTAACGTACCAGACATGGCTTTTTGGAGCGACTCAAGAATGTCAGGGTGCAACAGTTACGTTGATTCGTGGTGCTGGAGTCTCAGGAATGATGTTCAGGCACGATCCAGGACCGTCAAGACGCAATAGTCAGGTTGACCCGTGGCTTTGACGTCCTGAGAACGGTGTTTTGGCACGCGTCAGGATGTTCGCACGGTTACTCGCTCACGTGGCACTCCCTCAGTAGAAATGTATCTTTGTAGGATCCTATGAAGAGGGAGCTTCGAGGGAGGGTGTATTGCAACATCGCTGATGAGTCTTGGGTTTGCACTGAACCGCCTCCTCCTTATCCTTCTCCTCGTCCCTCCTCCCTTCTCCTCCCTGGAAGCCACGGAGCAGCATTCGTTGGCAGCGAAATCTGAACCATACCCTCCCCCATCAACGATACAGGCAACTCGATGTGCGGCGGGGGTAGGGTTCCCAAAGGAGAAACTTGCATAAACATAAACTTTCGGCGCTCCGCGCGGATTTATTGGATCGGCGCTGGGCCCCCCTGGCGGTGCCTCCGGCGCCACCCCTGGCGCGCGAAGTCCGCGCGGACCTCCGAAAGCTCATTCTTGTGTCGTTTTTTGTGCCTCTAGTGTCGGCGGCGAAATCCGAATCCCACCCTCGCTGATCAACGACGCAGGCAACTCGATGGGCGGCGGGGGTAATTAGGGTTCCGATGGGTTCAGAATCCGTGGAATGTTTGAGGAAGTCCGAGCCCTGCCCCCGCCCCTGATCGACTCAGGAGCACCGCTGGTTGGTGGGGGCAGGGTTCGGAACGGATGTCGCCACCCACGAGCGGGGACCCAGATCTCCGATGGTATGAGGCTTTCACTCCGGAACCTCCGGCGCAATGGAAGCATCCCGAAACATATTTTTCGTCGTTTTTGGCATCGAGGGGCCCTCGCAGGGCCCCAGGGGCGTCAGAAAACGATGCAGGACGACGAACCGATCCCCGGGCAGTGGTCCAGAGCTCTGGGGGCCCCGCATTGAACAAATCAAGGCGTCGAAGGTCTGGGATCCCGGCGATCGTCCTTCATTTCGGCCTCCAGGGGCCGTTATATCGGGCTTTCGGGCCATCAAGACAGGATCTCCCCGCCAGGTTTATGCACGGACACGTGTATCAACGCATGTGCATGAGAACATGCACGTGTCAGTTGGAACATGCATGAGTCAGTGGTGTACAGACCTGGACGACCACCCTTCGGGCGATATGGAGGTTCGGGTGGGAGGGGGAACCAACGTCTCATTCAATCGATCTCACATTGATCAATCTCTCGATCTCACTATCGATCTCACTGTCGATCTCACAACAGCAGATCTTGCAATCGATCTCACTATCGATTGGACACTGGAATTCACTATCGTTCTCACAGACAGTCTCACGATCGATCTCAAAGCAGATCTCACGATCGATCTCCCAATCGATCTCACCATCGAGCTGACAGTCGAACTCGCTATCGATCTCACATTCTGACTCACGGTCGATCTCTCAACAGTTCTCACTATCGGTCTCACTATCAATCTCACAATCGATCTCACCATCGATCTCATTATCGGTCTCACAATGGATCTCACGATCGATAGCACGGTCGATCTCAGTATCGATCTCACTGTCACTCACATTATAGAACTCACGAGCGATCCAACCATCGACCTCACAACAGATCTCACGATCGATCTCTCAGCAGATTCCAAGATCGATCTCACAGCATATCTCACAGTAGCTCTCACAACAGATCTCACAATCGATCACCATCGACCTCACTATCGATCTCACCGCCGCGCCACCGACGGGACACCGCTGCGCCATCGACGGGGCCCCGACGGGACACCGCCCCGCCACTGACGGGAGACGCGCCTGGGGGTGCTTGCGACAGGGAGGAGTTACTTATAAGGAAAAGGATGGAGGAGGAGGAGGAGCAGGAGGAGGAGCAGGAGGAGGAGTAGGAGGAGGAGGAGGAGGAGGAGGAGGAGGAGGAGGAGGAGGAGGAGGAGGAGGAGAGCCTGGGCCCGAGCCGCGCCCGCCCAGAGGGGGCACCGCGCGCTCGGGGCTCGGGCGAGCGGGGCCATCGCCCGCGGCCGCAGGGCGGCTTTGCAGGTTTCGGTCAAAGTCGGGGGGTGAGGCGGCCCGCCAACTTTAGCCGCAGGAGCGGCTACTTGTTCATCGAGCACGGCCAAGCGGGTTCGGTCCCCAGCTTGGCATCGGCGCCTTCGGCGCCAGCGCGGGGCTGCGAGGACCCTGCTCCGCGTCCTCCAGGCGCGCAACATCCTGGACCTGCACCACAGTGCGGGCTCACCAGCCGTCGAAGGCCTCTCAGCGCTCCTCACGATGGCTCAACGCGGTGCTGGTCAGTCTCGTGGAGTTGGGAAAGGACAGCATCCACCTCGTGAGGCACGAGATTCAGCTCGAGATCAACGAGAACCCAGAGGGCATGCTCGTGATCAGGGAGGTCGCGACCAGGGAGGGCATCGAGACCAAGGGCGACGCCGGGCAGATGACGCTGTTCCTGACTTTCGAGCAGAGACCAAGGAGATCATCGCGTCGGCCACCATGTGCACCACGGCCTATGCTTTGGCATCTCCTTCCTACCGCGCCCCTCCCTCAGCGCGGGAAGGCCTTGCTCGCTACCGCGAGGACGTGGCCTCCAAGATGAAGGTGCTTGCGGAGTTCATCGCCCGAGCACGACTTTCCCAGCTCGACGCTTCCCACCAGGAGAAGGAGTTGGCCGTTCTCAAGTTCATGGCTTGGACGGCGAAGCCGCAGTCGGTCCGCGAGAAGGAAGCCCTCGACGGGATCAACAAGGCCAACGGGAAGTTGGAGGCAGTACGACGTCAGCAGCGGGACCTGGAGATAGAGATCCTGTTGCAGGAGGCGAACGTGAGGTACTGGACGGACCTGCTCACGGAGGCGCGCAACCTGCCGCCCGAGTCGCCCAGCTCCGACGAGTACGGGCACGATCGAAGGAAGGCCCTGTCGATCTCCATCGCGCGCGACCCTCCAGCTGTTCGCGCCCACCAGGAGGGACGTCAAGCTGGCCATGCTCTTGGAGGTGCTCCTGCTTCTCTAGCCGCCGATGCTGTTTGGACGAGCCCAGCTCGAGCCCCGCATCCTCCTCATGCTGATGGTCAGCCACTACAACAACCTGCTCAGCACTCGGCGCGAGGACATGGCCGTCCTCTTCAGCCTGGTCTTCAGCGCGACCATCGACCGCCGACGGCCTCGTCTCCTAATGTCCCAGTGGTCGATGGCAGGCATATACGTGGCATCACCACTCCTGCCCCTGTCCAGCCGCGTTCACCTCCTCCTGTTGCCCAGGCTCCTACCACCGAGGACCTCCAGGCGGCCCAACGCTCCACGGCCGCGAACTCCAGCCGTACGAACGTGGTAATGTCTGCTACTGCAGCCCCGCCCTCACCTGCGCCGCCGAGGACACCCTCTAAGCTTTTGAGGACACCAGTTGCCACACCTCCAGCGCGTTCTCCCCAGGTCATCACGGAGACCAGTGAGATCACCATGATGCGAAAATGGCTTGAGGAGCAGATGACGATGCAGGGCCGTGCCATCCAGCAGATCAAGAAGGAAGTCCGCGAACGCGACGATCGCCATGTCCATTCAGCTCCACCTGCCGGCCAAGCCCAACCTGCTAGCTCTGCAGTTGCTGACCTACGACCTCAGGAAGCCAACGTCGCTCAACAGGCTGAATTGGAACGGGCCATTGCCGAACGTAACCAGTTGGTGGAGGAGTACACATTCCAACAGGCCGAACTTCGTCAACATAAGATCAGGGAGGAGTCCTACAAGCAGTTCGAGCACCAGCAACGTCATCAGCTACAACTGGCCGAGAAGTTGGCTTACGATGCGCAGCGCAGAGAGCACGACAAGACCTTCACCTACCAGCAGGAGATCTCGGAGACGCATGCCATGATGGAGCAGGCCGAGTCCACCAGGCGCAACCAGCGGGAGTACTGGGAGACGCTCGAGGCACAGGATGCAGAGATGCAGCAGCTCAAAATCATTATGGAGCACCAACATCGGTACCAGCAGGAACAAGCCTACGAGACGATGCGGATGCAGTTTGCGGAGGCCCGTGACCAGGACACCGAGCTCCTACGACGCCAGCAACTGGAAGTGCAGCAGCTTCGTGAACACTTACAAGCCAGCGAACGCATGCAAGCTTTCGAAGGCGCTGCTCTCCGCAAGGGGCTTCATGATGTTCGCGAGGAGAAAGCCGAGGCAGCTCGTCAGGCTTCTATGATTGCGGAAGCCCTCGATGCACGTATTCACTCGGAGCTTGCCGAACTTCAACAATTTGGGGACCTTGGAGCAGAAGATACTGCTGAGGACCCATATCATGAGCTTGACGGAGCCGCACACTTTGCCGACTTGAATAGCTCTGACTTCCTTGAAGAGCACAAGGCAAATGGCCCTACACCTTCTACCATGCTCGCTGCCCCGCCCGATGAGGGTCCCGCACATGAAGACGACGGCCCCGCCCAGCGGACTTCTACCTATGCGGTACCGCAGGCAAGGACTACGGCACCTGCTTCCTCGCTTTCGACTTCAGCTTCATCGACAGCCACTTGGGCGCCTACCCTTACGAGCTCTCTGGCATCCCTTGGAGCGACACCCAACTTCAGCAACATCTTTGGCATGATCGGTAGGCAGGAGAAGGGCATCACACCCCTCAACGATTTCGTCCCGAGCTCTCCTCCTAATCCAAGCCTTGCTGAATTGACTGGTGACAAGACGGCGTTGGTCCCCATACATGACGACGCCGAAGAAGCTGAACGTGTGCGTGAACCGCTCCCCAGTCAGCTCGTCCTGCCCCCCAGCCAACAAGCCCTGCTCGAAGCCGACGTTGTGGAGGAGCTCACCTTGCTCGAAAAAGTGCAGACGGAGGTCGAGGGTACCGCAACACCTGAAGTTGATAGTCATGACCGTCTACGTCGTGAACTTGGTGGTGAACTAGCAAGTGACTCGTTCGAGGAGCTGGAGAGAGCTCAAGGGCGTATGTTACAGATCATGCATCCTGATACGCATCCAGGATCTCAGCTACTTGAAGCCGATGCTGCTGATGCCCATGACCATGGTGCAGTTCCAGGCCATTTCGAATCAATTGACATTCCTGCCTCTCGTGATCACCCTCATGATACCGAACTTGGTGACGGTGAGTGCGCTTCCCCTGAGCTCCTCTATCCTGCACATGGTGATACGGGTGAACATCATCCCGATCATACTCTTGCCCCTGCCGCTACCAGATCCGAGAATCCCAGGACAATGGTGATTGAAGACTCTGACTCGGACCTCGCTGGCGAACATCATGCAGTACCAGACGATGCTGACCCCCCAGGCCTTCCAGGTACAGGGCTCAGCTCAGATACAGGCGGCGACACCGAACCTCCTGGCCCTGCGAGGAAATACCAGCGTTCGCCGCCGAGTCTGGTATCGTCTTCCAGCGCACGCACCAGGCGTACCGCAGCGCGTGGCTCACTCCCCACTGCTTTAGGGGACTGGGCCCCTCCTGACGGAGGGGCCCGACATGATTGAGCAAGGCGCCGAGGCGCCGTCCAGGTCTATGCTGGCTACATCCCTGGACAAGAACTATTACAGCCACATAAGAGCATATCACGATCCACGGGCGCATCCCGACCACGATGGATCTGAAGTTTCACCTTGCCGTGACGGTAATCTTGAGGTGCTACGGCTTCGGGGAGGAGGAGATGGGGGGGATGAGGTGGATCCTCTTTTGCCTACGCGAACCTTGGGAAATCGTGCACAAGCTACAGTACTTCCTGATCCCAGCTCGCCTGAGCCCGACCAGGAGCCTTACCACAAGGTGGCGGATAAAGACGACATGCTGGTCTCCGCCCCACTACTTGAACACGGACATCAGTCATTTTCGATGTCTCCATGTTCCCCTACATTCGCGCTACCTGGTCCCTCGGCGACTAGCAGCGTGCCTCTCTATGTATCCTCCTCGCATAGCCTGGAGGTGCCCGTGGCGATCAGCGATTCCGACACGTTGACTGTTGTCCCAGAGATGATAGATCTTTCTGAAGTCATCGAATTTCGAACAGTTCGTGTGCGTGATTCTGCGTTCTCCATCCCTAGTGGTAGTGACTCGTTCCTCTACCCCGAGTGCATCCCAGCCAACAAGGACTCTGACAAAGTCGACAGCGTCCCTCAGGCTCTTCAGCCCCCGCGGCTGCAACATGATCTGCACAGTCCTTCTTCGGAACGTGCGGCTCCTGTATCGTTATCATCTCCCGTGGGCATGGTGGTGAACATACTGAGTAGCCCCTCTGCCTCTTGCCCAGAACCGCGTGGTCGACGACATGACCCCGCTGGCGGCCAAGCACTAGGTGAAGTCGACTCCCTTCGAGACGACGCCTCTCCTTTGACAAGCGGACATCAGGGCTTCTTACACTGTCCACTTGAAGTACCTGTTCCGCTTAGCTTAGAGTACCAGTACAACCCATGGTATATTCGGCTTCGCCGAGATCTTGCTGCAGCTTCTCTTCATGAGCACACTCAAGCAGCCTTGCGCCTTGTTGCACCTCTGCGTGGACGCCCCAAGCGGATGGTGATCTACACTGACGGCAGCTACTGGCCTGACGATCGGCATCTTTCAGCCTTTGCCTGCGTGGTCCTGGCTGACGACGGCGAGACGATTTCCTTCGAGGGTTTCTTCGCCAGCCTAGTCGAGAACGCGTTCAACTTTGAGTGTGTCGACTACATCACCAGCGTCTCCACCGAGATGGCAGGATTGGTATGGGCGTTACTGTTCTGCTTGCAGGTGGACGAGGGCATCCAGTTGGAGGTCATCTGCGACTGCCTTCCTGCTATCGACGCTGTCACTCGGAGGTGGGGGTCATCTGATCCCTTTGTGCCGATCGCCTGCCACCTCTACGATTTCCTCAAGATCCACCGCGACATCACCATTGCTCATACACACGGTCACGAAGGAGACCCATGGAACGAGTGCTGCGACGTTATCGCCAAGAGTATGCGACATCAGCGTGGTCCCTCGCTTCCTGAGAATCTCATCGTGAAGCTTACGAACTCTTCTGCATGGTATTGGGCCAGCTACCGCGACCACCTCCATCGAGATGCCCATGCCTATCCTCTTGTTGATCAACATGGTATACATTGTGAATGGCGACTTCAAAGTTGCCCGTACCCTGCTCCTCCTGCGGGGCAGCCCCGTGAGACCGTCAAGTACTCTATCTCTTTGTCGCTGATCTCAGTCAACCTCCAGAAGGCCAACATTGCAATGGAGGCACCTGAGCCGCGACATCCTGCAAGCCAGACGCGAGCCTTCCGCCCACGTGCTCTCCGTTTGCAGCTGCAGGACATGGGGGCGCATTTAATTGGGTGCCAGGAGACGCCGATCCTCGAAGATGGGGTCCTCAGAGATGGATTTCTTATCGTAGGTGGAGGGCAGCCTGAGCACCAGCTTGGAGTCAGCCTCCTCATCAACATGACCAAGGCTTACGCTACAGGACCTAGAGGACCAAAGCTCTTCAGACGTGGGGACATTCGTGTCCTTCACCGATCTTCTCGCGTCCTTGTCGTAAAGATCGAGACCTGCTGTATCTACGAGATTGTTTATGTTGTACATGCCCCCTACAAAGGCCATCGGGAAATTCAACTTGCTAGCTGGTGGCGAGACCTTAGTGGTCTTGCCGAGAAGTGGCCTCCGACCATTTTGCTTGGGGACTGCAATGCCAACATCCCCAGCAACACCGTCTACTCCGAGATCTTGGAGAACATCGTAGTGGGCCATGAGCACCCTGCCTGTGCGCCCACGACCGCAGATGAAGCCGCCCGCGCCTGCCTGCAGTTTGCCACTGACACGGGCCTGTACATCGAGAACACCTTCAATCCTCACGAAGCAGGCCACACCTTTGTCGGTAAGGATGGGCCTCGTCGGTTGGACTATATTATGCTGTCACGTGATCATCATGGCCATACTTCGCGATTCT